CTCCTGACCCTGGTCCAGAGAGAGCCACTGGTTCTGTGGCCTTCTACTTCCCACCATACGATGTGACACTTCCAGTCACTGTCCCCTCTCTTCCCGTCTTGAGGTTCTCTTTTCTCTTGGCCTCCTAGAGAGAGAGAAGTAAGCAGAGGCTTTGGAACCCCGTGAGCTCTGGGTTAAAATCCTCAGCCTGCTTTTCACTAGCTTGAACTCTGGGTGTGACTCCATGTCTCTAAGTCTGCTCCCTTATCTCTGAAAGCAGGAAAGCACCGACCTCACAAGGCTGTCTGAGGACAACGCTGACCTCATCAGCCCAGGTGTCCAGCCCAGTACCTGCAATAGTGCAGCAAGGGCCTTTCACTGTCAGCTCCTTTCCTGGTTGCTAATCCCTGCCCCCACATTCCTGAGATGGAAAAGCTCTCTGAGGCTGCGAGCCCTCACAAATCCATGGATTCAATACTAGTGTCTGCAAGTGGTGGCTTAACCTGCTGTGCCACAATGCATGGATTTTCAGATAACTTTTTTTTTTGTTTCTTTCTAAAGATTTATTTATGGGGTTGGCTCTGTGGCATAGTACGTTAAACCTCTGCCTGTGGTGCCAGCATCCCATACAGGTGCCGGTTCAAGTTTCAGCTGCTCTACTTCCGATCCAGCTCCCTGCTGACACACCTGGTAAAGCAGTGCAAGATGGCCCAAGTCCTTGGGCCCCTGCACCACCTGGGAGACCCAGATGAAGCTCCTGGCTCCTAGCTTCGGATTGGCCCAGCTCCGGCTGTGGCGGCCACTTAGGGAGTGAACCAGCGGATGGAAGACTTTTCTGTCTCTCCCTCTCTCTGTCTGTAACTCTCTCAAGTAAATAAACCAATCTTAAAAAAAAAAAAAAAAAAAAAAAAAAAAAAAAAAGCTGCTTTCCCAGAAGCATTAGCAGGGAGCTGGATGACAAGTGGAGCAGCCAGGACTCAAACTAGCAGGCAAATGGGATGCTGGAGTTGCAGTAGGCAGCTTTTCCAGCTACACTACAGCCCTGGCACCCCCCCCCCCCCCCCAGCAAGTCTTTCACAGCTGGGTTGCTCAGGCATCCAATTGAATCCAGGACCAAGTGCTGAACTTGGTGGCTGGGCATCTCAGCTCTCTCCCCTCCCATCTTCACCACATCCTTCCCTTGGCCTTTGAGGCAACTCCACGTGCTTTGGAAAAATGCTTCTTTCTTTCCCTTTCGGGAACTGAGTTCCTCCAAGGCCCCGGGCCGGGGGGGGGGGGGGGGGGGCTAAGCCGCCCACCCGGTGCCCTCCTCCCTGTGTGCCCAACTGTCACCTGACGCATCTGCCTTTCTTCACGCCCAGGACAGAGCTTGGTTTGTTGCTTGCAGAGAGCAGGCAGGGCTCTGGTCTTCCTCCCCTGGATGCACAAGCCTGGCATCCAGCCGAGGCACGGGGAGGAAGCTGATCACTACTCCTTTCTTCAGGCCCCTCGCTCCTCCTCCTCCGCAGCCTTCCTGCCGCGGTGAGGGGAAGCAAAGTCCAGGCCAGGATCCTGGAGACTGCTTCTGCACCCGGCCAGGCCCGCCCTCCCCTCCTGTCCCTTTGACAGCTTCTGTGTGCACCCACACGCCCAAGACACGGGAAGTGGTTTTGAGGCAGGTCCAGAAGCACCTAAGGGGTGGAGACCGCCGGCGGCCCTGGAGCGTGCCCCCAGCCTGGATACCCCAGCCCCTGCCCTGCTGTCGTCCCCAGTAACAGGAGCCATGAGCCAGCGGGGCACAGACCTTGGCACTCCTCCTCCGCGGGAGGGACCCGAGGGACCCGCCCTGACGCGGCCTGGAGGGGTGGGGTGGCCGTGGAAGGGGGCCTCCTGCCTTCTCCCCGCCCTGGAGAATGGAGGAGCCCTCACTTAGAATTTGCGAGACTCCCTGGACGTGTTTATTCTGGCCCACCCAGTCCCAAGCAGCCCACGGCTCTCGCTGCAGACTCAGGGCTGGGGCTGGGGCTGGGGGTAGGGGCTCGATCCCAGAGGTGGCGGAGGAAGCGACTCGGCGGCGACTTCGAGGGCAGCTCCCGGCCACCCACCGCCCCCGCTTTCGGCCCTCGCCCGCCTCCTCTGCCGCGCCCAGAGCCAGAGGGAACCAGGCGGCGCTCGGTCCCGCCGTCCTACCACGAGCTGGCACGGAGGTGGGGGCGCCATGAGGGCCCCAAGGCGCCTGCAGGGCCCGGCCGTCCGAGCCTTCCCTGGGCGGGCGTGGGCGCTGTCCTGCAGGCCGGGGGGCCACGTGGCTCCCGCTGGGCGGGGGGCTCGGCCCTCCCCGGGCCGGCCCCGGTGACTCAGGCCGCAGCTGTTCCCGCGTCACATGAGGGAGGCCGGCGGCCGCCCGGCGGGGGAGGGGGCTGTGGCCGGAGCCCGGGGCGGGGCCGCGCGGCGGGCGGGGCAGCAGCCGGGGGGCGCCGCTAGAGAGCCCCTGAGCCGCGGCAGGAGCGGAGCGCACAGCCTCGGGGAGCCCAGGTGAGGCCGCGGGGGCCGCGGCGGGCTCGGGCGCGGGGTCGGGGAGGCCGCTCGGGCGCCCCTTTCCTGGGGCTCGCCCGGGGCCGCCGAAGACCCGCCCCGCGCTCTCAGCTGGCGCTCCGGGCCCTGGAGCAACTTTGCTCGGAAGTTCCCGAGCAGGGGCGGGGTGGGCGGGGGTGCCTGCCGCACTTGTTTAATTTTCGGGGGGCAGCCCAGAGCGCTGGCGAGGAGCCTACGGGGTGGGTTCGGGATTGGGCCGGAGGGCCGTTTTTCGGGACTGGTGGGACGCCCGGGGCTGGTGGGCCGGGGGTCGGCAGCAGTCCCGAGCCCCCGGGAGCTGCCCCAAGCTCGCGCCGCGGCGGGCGGGGACCCCCACCCCTCTGCCGCCCGGGGAGCGAGGGGGCTGGGAGACGTGGAACCGACCGCGGGCTTTCCGGGTGGGAGGGGCCGGGAATGGGGGCCGGGCAGGGAAGGCCTCGAGGGCCGGCGGGGAGCTCGGAAAGCGAGGTTCCCCCTAATCCCCCCTCTCCGCCTCCCCTGGACCCCAGGCCCGGCAGCCATGGCGGTGGAAGGAGGAATGAAATGTGTCAAGTTCTTGCTCTACGTGCTCCTGCTGGCCTTTTGCGTGAGTGCGGAGCTCGGGCGCGAGCCTGGCGGGGCGCGGTCGGTGGGTGGGGGGTGCCCTGGCTCCCGACCGCCGAGAGCCAAGGCAGCTGCAGGCCAGATGTGCGGGGAGAGCCCGGGGAACGGGGCCGAGGGCGGCGCCGCCACCCCGTCTTCTGGCTTTCGGGGACCCCGGAGGCCCATTTGACCGAAAAGTGGTCCTCTTGGACGGGCAGCGCCCCACCCCCACCCCTCCTGGCCCTTCCTGTCTGGTGACCCAACCACTTGTGATTGGGGCAGTGGGGCAACCAGCCAACGGCCTGATGCTATCGCCACGAGGCTCCTCTGCCCCGTCCTCCCGCGGCCCCCTCTTCCTCCACCCCACATCCTTCCCCTCTTTCCCGCCCGGCTTCTGTGGGGGCGAGGAAGGGCACTGCTCACCCCAAGTGGCTCCCGCCCGGGCCGAGAAGCCGCAGTTTGTCCAGGGAGGAGCACCCTTGCCCCTTCTCCTTCCTGGCCTAGCCGGCCGGCGGAGCTGTCACCGCCAAGGCGTGGGCTGGCACCGGGGCTGGGCGCCCTGGAGGCTCGTCCTGCTCTGGGCAGGAATGTGTGCCCCGGGGTCACAGCTCACCGGTAGCTTCTCCTTTCTCCCCAGTCCCTCCATCCCCTCCCCCGCAGTCCCCTTTCCCGGAGGAGTGCGGCTAGGCCTCTCCTCCAGGGGTCAGCTCTGTGTTTCCGGCCAGCCTAACCCTCCCGTGCCCTCTCGCTCAGGCCTGTGCAGTGGGATTGATTGCCGTGGGTGTGGGGGCGCAGCTCGTCTTGAGTCAGACCATAACCCACGGAGCGACTCCTGGCTCCCTGCTGCCTGTGGTCATCATTGCCGTGGGGGCCTTCCTCTTCCTGGTGGCCTTTGTGGGCTGCTGTGGAACCTGCAAGGAGAACTATTGTCTTATGATCACGGTGAGTGGTGGTGCCAGGGACGTGTCCCCGTGGCCAGGTCTCGGGTCGTAGACTGGAAGGCTGACTCCTGTGCTGTGCCCCTGCAGTTTGCCATCTTCCTGTCTCTGATCATGCTGGTGGAGGTGGCCGCTGCCATTGCTGGTTACGTGTTTAGAGACAAGGTGAGTGGGGAGTGAGGGGCCGGTCCTCCCCTGGGCTGCTCAGAACCCAGGTGCCTGGATTCGGACCTCAACAGCGCTTCTCCTTACTCTCAGGTGATGTCGGAGTTTAATAAGGATTTCCGGCAGCAGATGCAGAATTACTCGACAGACAACCAGACCGCTTTAATCCTGGACAGGATGCAGAAAGATGTGAGCGGGGCTGCCGGGGGCAGAGGCGTCGCCATGCCAAGGGGGGAGGCTCACATCACCACCCTCTCCCCCGTCTCCCTCTCCTCCCCCAGTTCACGTGTTGTGGGGCTGCTAACTACACGGACTGGGCGACCATCCCTGGCATGACCAGGGATCGCGTCCCTGACTCCTGCTGTGTCAACGTCACCTCGGGCTGTGGGGTCAAGTTCAACGTGAAGGACATCTATGTCGAGGTAGGGAGGGGGCTGGATAACCTGGCGGAGGCTTCAGGAGGCACGGAAACGTTCTGGGACGGAGGTGGCCCGGGGTTAGGGATGGGAGGTGGACAGGGTCAGGGACGAGAGGTGGCGGGCCAGGTGCCTGGTGCCGGCTGGTGGGAAGCTCTGGTAGTGCTCTCACCTGTGTGCCTGCCTCCCCTCAGGGCTGCGTGGAGAAGATCGGGCTGTGGCTGAGGAAAAACGTGTTGGTGGTGGCGGCAGCAGCCCTGGGCATTGCTTTTGTGGAGGTGAGAGATGACCCGGGCAGGGGCCCGTGGTCCCACGGGTGGATCTGGGGTGGCTTGCCCTCCTCACTCCCCTCTGCCTCTGTCCTTCTAGGTCCTGGGCATTGTCTTTGCCTGCTGCCTTGTGAAGAGCATTCGAAGTGGCTACGAGGTGATGTAGGGCTCTGGTCTCTTCAGCCCCCTCCGTCTAGGGGAGTGCAGTCGTATCCACCAGGTTTTTCAATTAAACGGATTATTTTTTCAGACCGAAAAGAGACATGGTGTCTGTTTGTCTCAAAGCAATACCTGACCTCTTCCTCCTTATCCTTGTTCCCTTGCTCTGTGTGCACCGCCGGGGAAGGCAGGTGGTGAGCGTCTGGGAAAGGGGGTTGTGCTTGAACGTGTTGAGTGGGCTGGCAGGGGGATGTGGGGTCTGGAGGAGGCGCCGGCCCAGTGCCCTCTCTGCCCCCAGCCCTGCGCTCTTTGCTGGAACATCCATGAAACCACCTCCTGGGTAAGTCCCAGGATTCCCACACAGGCCTCACCTGGGAGAGCCCAGCCTGGGTCAGCTGTGGCCACGCTCTCCCTGGCGTTCTGTGCACCTGGGGGCCCAGCAGCCCCCTCTCGCGCAGTTCTCAAGGGGACCTGCTTCCTTTCAGGGTGCTGATAAGTAGGGTGGCCACTTTCCCTCATTCTGGACTGAGGAGAATGAGTATCCCCCCCCCTCCCCTTGGAAACCACTCAAGTTGGCCCTGATGCTTCATCACGGAAGAGAGCTAAAGATCCATTCCCAGTACAAACACAGAATTGTAACCTTACTCCATGCAGAAAATAGGTGACACATGCAAAGTGCCCTCTGGTGGCCACTCCTCCGGGTGCGGTTGCAAAGTTCACCCGAAGATGCAGGAGTTCCCGGCGCCCCCCAGTGGGCGTTTTGCAGGCACTAAAGACTTGGCAGTTTGGGGACGCCTTCATTTCTGCTCACTCACTTTCTGCTTTTTAGACAGTACACATTTATTGAGTGCCTGCTTTGCGCCAGGCACCAGATGGTACCAGAACGAGGGCAGAAACAAGTCAGAGTCCTTGCTCTTGGAAAACAGTCTCTCTGGGAGGCTGATTCATTCAGTAGACGGTCTGGGCAGGCTGTGGAAGGACCCAGGTGAGCACGGCATCCACCAGGCTGGCCGGCAGGTAGGAGGCCGGCAGCCAGAGCAGCTTGGCGTCCCAGCCTGGGCTGTAGCGGGTTCGAGGGTGACGAGCAGTCAGGGCGTGCTCCAGGCACTTGCTCACCTTGGTGAGGTCCGGGTCACAGATCAGGTTCATGATGCGTCGCTGCACTGTCAGATCTGCGGCCCCGTGGTGGGTGTCATCAGCCTCAGGACACTGCCCCCCTCCTGGGCCCTATCTTCTGGGTCCTGGGCTTGTTCCTAGCAAGGTCAGAGGGTTCCTCGCCTCCTCACCCCCCAGCCCCGTTTGGGGGGTGGGACTGGGCTGCTGTGCATGGCATCCCATCTTGTTTGCCCCCACTCCTCCCACAGGCTGGGGTGGGACTGACCTTCCTGGTGGTCCTTTCCCGTCCTGCCGTCCCATGCCCCCGTCTGGCCCCGCTACTCACACTTGGTGAGGAAGGTCTCCCCGTACTGGGCCTGTGTGGCTGGGGGCAGCCGTGCCCAGCAGGCCTGCAGGCCGCTGTCCAGGCTCTCCAGGTTGGTCACAGGGGTTCGGAAGAAGCCAGGCTCCACGATGGAGACTTGGACCCCAAAAGGAGCCACGTCCCGCCTGGAGTAGGGGCAGAGGGAGGGCTCAGGGCGCTTGCCCTGTGGTGCACAGGTTGGGCAGCTAAGATGAGGGCCTTAACACAGATGAGGGGCAGGAGCCCTGACGGGGGAGGTCCGGGCTGCCTGGCAGCCGGAGGCTTTATATTTTCTTCTACGATCTGTAGCAGAGGTCAGCACACTTTTCCTTAAAGGGCCACCCAGTTTAGGCACCATGGGCCAAGAAACACAATTAGCCTGACCATTATGAGCCTGCAGGCAGTTGGCTGCAGCTGGCCTGAGAACAACCCCGTGAGTTCCGAGTGCTGACATGCAGGGTGCAGACTGGTAGTTCTGGGGGTGGGGGCGGTGGGGACACATGCCAGTGCCCTGGTGTAGACGCAGAAGTCCACATGTAAAGCCTGTGTTCCGGGCTGACTGGGAAATGAAAGGCTGAGGGACCGAGACAGAGGGGAACGCTGAAAATACTGAGTGACGGGGAAGAGGGCGGGCTTCCTGAGCGCCTTGTGCTCGGCTCAACATTGAGGCCCCGCTGCCCTGTCGTCCTGCCCCACCTCCTTTGTGCACCCATGGCCCCCTGAACAGGATTACTGACTGATGAGGGGTGGGAGGCCCCAGCGCGTCTGCTAGCTGGTGTGTATTCCTTCTACATTTTGGCCATGTGCTACTTAGTGATGGTAGTCTGTTTCCCTATTTATAGCAATAGCAGGCTTTTCTGAGCACTTAGTACCTACCAGGCACTGCTGGGCCCCTTATTTTTACCTCTCACCACACCTGGGAGGTAGAGCTTCTCATCCCAGTTTAACAGAGAAGAAAAAATGGGTAAAGAGAAGGAATCTTTGTAAGACCCTGAGGCTTGAGGGGCCAGTGCCATGTCACAGTAGGTTAATCCTCCATCTGCGGCGCCGGCATCCTGTATGGGCACCGGTTCAAGTCCCGATTGCTCCTCTTCCAGTCCAGCTGTCTGCTATGGCCTGGGAAAGCAGTGGAAGATGGCCCAAGTGCTTGGGCCCCTGCACCCACATGGGAGACGGTGGAAGGAAGACCTTCCTCTCTGTCTCTTGCTCTGTCTGTAACTCTACCTCTCAAATAAATAAATAAATAAATAAGAAAGACCCTAAGCTTGCATGAAAGGACTTGAATCCATGGTGTCTGGACCTGAGCCCTCTCCTCCTGGATACTCCACTGTGCTGTGTCTTATTTTTTGCTGGCCCACCCTGGGCAGGCACTAATTTGTTTGTTGGGAGGGCCGTCCTTGGGTTGGGAGCCCACAGCCCTGCGCCCCTCACCTCAGGCTGTCAGAGAAGGCCTCCAGGCCAAACTTGGAGACACAGTAGCCCCCACCGTTGGCTGCCAGGCGGCCCAGGACGCTGCTGACGTTCACTACCCGGCCCCGGGCCTGCTGCAGCAGGGGCAGCAGGGCAAGAGTGACCCCGATGGGACCCAACGTGTTCACACTCAGCACGCGGTGGAAGTCGTCTCGTGTCAGCCACGGTGTGGGCCCGATGATCCCGGCCACGCCAGCGTTATTCACCAGCCCAAAGAGCCCTGTGGGGGAGACGGGACGGGCGCAGAGGGCAGGTGAGGCCCTCCCACAGCAACCGCCCCTGGGTGCCAGGGTCCTCACCTGCTTCCTTAACGTGTGACTCCACCCACGTGGCTGCCCGCTGCACACTCTGGGGGTCAGTGACGTCCAGCAGCGTGGTGTGGAGGCGGGAGGAGGCCACCTGCTGTAGGTTCTCTGCCCCAGAGGGAGTGAGGCAGCCGGCCAGGACCCGGAAGCCCTTCTGGTCCAGTCGCAGTGCCAGAAGGCGCCCGAATCCTGAGTCACAGCCGGTGATGAAGATGAAGGCATCGCTGCTGGGCAGGCTCTGCCGGTCCCTGAGCAGCCACAGCCCTGCCCAGAGCAAGGCACCCAGCAGCAGGAGCAGCCACATGGCAGGATCCAAAACGGCCTGTAGGTGGCAGTGTAGGCTGGGCAGAAGCCTTGGCCCCCAAGCCCTTGCCCCTAATATCCTCCCTGGCTGGGACTGTCCAGTCTGAGCAGATTTGAGAAATTAGCTACCTGGTGAATAACTGGCAAACTACAACTCATCTCTGCAACACAGACGTGGGCAGGCCCTGCACTGTGGCTAACCTGATTCAAGCCGGATGAGCCGGGGCCTGTGTTGGGGAGCAGAGGGACCTCCTTGTTTGTTCTCACCTCCGCAGCGACCCCCAACCCTCTAAGTGTAACCCCGGCCTTGTGCCTGGAATCACAGGGTCAGGAGCCCCTCGCCCAAGTCCCGGTGGCCTCCAACTTGTATGGCGGTGTCTGAACCTCATTTGCCAAGCGGGGCTGACACCCTGAGCCATGAGGGTCTGGGATGCCACGTGAGGAAGATGAGATATGCCTGGCGCTTTGAGTTACTGGCACACGGGACCTCCAGCCCCTCCCCTCACGGCACCCCAGCTCCCAGGGTCCCCCTTACCTCCTCTGGGGAAAGCTCGCAGGTCCTACAAAGCCCGAAGCTTCTTGTTTTGCTTTTAAGAGACTTTGCTCCTGGCTTCCCAGGCTCCCACGCTAGCTCCAGCTAAGGCCCAAGTCCGAGTGGGTGGCCTCGGGTGCCAGGAGTATTAAGCACATGTACGAGGGGGGTGGAGGGAGGGCCGAGGAGGAGGAGCCCTGAGCCTGGAGCCCCGAGGCCAGGTCTGCCAAAGCCCAGCTGCCTGCGGCCAGGGCTTAGCAGAGGCCAGATCTGCCCAGGCCCCTCTGGGGCTGTCAGCCTGGGTAAGTGGCCACCTGTGTCGTGGTCTCCCAGGAGGGAGCTGTCAGGGACAGCAGCTGCCCCTCTCGGCTGGTGGCCTTGGACCTGTCATTCCTCCCCCTTCTTGGCCCTGCTGTGCCTCCAAGAATTAATCTCGCACCCGGCCCAGACTCATGACACTGCTTAGTGCTGGCCTGGGAGAGGCCCTGAGCACGTGGAGAGGCCCCGAGCCAGAGCAGGGGCCCAGGCACGCTGTGTGTCTTACTTCTCTTCTGCAGGAAACTCAAGTCCCGAATTAGGACGCCCTAAGGACCCCTAGAACCTTCTCTGGGGAAGTGTGGGACACTCGCACCCTAAGCTTACCCAACAGGAACCTGCACCAGGCCTGAGGAGGAGGAGGAGCGGGTCGGGACAGTAAGAGGAAGCTGGTTCCACCCGTATCTAAATGGCACCATCCTGTGGGAGTCACCCTTGATCTTTCCATCCCACTTCCCACACTGGAGCACCTCGAAACACACCACACACGAACGGAGGCTGGGGTTTTATTCACGGCCTGGTGCGGGTGACACAGGCAGGGCGGGGTGGAGGGCGGGGGTGGAGTGGCTAGGAGGGGGCCGACTGCAGCTGTCCCTTGTACACGTATTCCAGCGCGGTGGCAATGGTGCGCATGTCCAGCTCAATGCTCCGAGCCCAGTTCTCCACATCCCCGATTTCCTGGGAAGGGGAAGCAGGTGGGTGGGCAGGCGCGGCTCCCAGGCTGGGGGTGCTTTTCACCCACCCCCTGGACCCACCAGTGACTTTCCTTTCTCTGGCTGTTCACACACTGGGGCCACAGGTGGGGCTTCTGGGACCAGCTCCACTTCCTCCCTAACCCCTGAGGGAGGCAGACTGTGGGGGCCCAGAATGGGGAGGTGATAAAGGGAGCGAGGCCCACCTTGAGAGCCTGGTTGAAGTTCTCCACCATCCCAATCCACTGGCCTGTCTGCTTGGCAAACTGGGCAGCCTGGGCCTGCAGGGTCTTCACCTCGCGGTCCAGCTTCCTCTGGTTCACGTAGGCCTGGGCCACACTAGGGTTAGGAGGAGGAAGGAGGTCAGCTTGCCCCTCTGGTCTCTCGGGTGGTCTCTGGCACCGAGATTCCAGTGCGGCAGGGGAAGGCCGGCCAAGGGGCCAGGCTAGGGAAAACCTTGGGATTTTGGCCACTCTCAGATGTGATGCAAATGACCCGGCTCCTTCTTCCCACTCCCAGGATTCCTCCTGAGGGAGGAGCTGGGAAGGGGGTGTGGTGCTGCTGGGAAAATCCAGCCGCAGGGACACATCTGCCAGTGATTGGAAGGCTGGTGATCTGTGCAAGAGGTCCCCCTGCCCCCTCCCCGGCCGAATCTAGGGTGGGATGGGGGAGCTCACTGCCTCCCCAGAAATTCTGGGTCAGGAAGGATATCCCAGGGGTTTCTTTCTGGCTCTCACTTTCTCTCCTTCTCCTTTCAGCCGCACACAACACACACACACACACACACACACATACACACTCCCTCCCTTCTGTTCTAGGCAGTGGTTTTTCTTTTCTCTTCCCCAAGGTGCTGGGGGCAGTTAGCATGATGACCATGGACTCACGGGGCTGTTCATCACTATTCTCCCTGCCTAGCTGATGAATCTTTCACTCCGCACCCCAAAGCTCTCTAGGCCAGCCAGGGGCCTCCACATCCGGCGCCCTCCACCCACTGGAATGTGTGGGGGCTGGCCGAGGCAAGGGGCAGGACACCTGACAGGGGCCTTTGTCTGAAGAGCCGTGGGAGCAACACAAAACCCTTTCTAATCTGCCTCTGGCTCAGCTGCCTTGGGAGCTGAGAGTGGGGTGGCCTGTGGCATAGGGAGAGGAGGGGAAGCCTGGGCCAAGCTCAGAAATGGTAGACACAGCTGAACCCAGGCGGCGCCAACGGGGGAGGGAGGAAAAGGGACAGGCTCTGGCCTTTCTGGTCGGAGACAGCGCTGAGTGAACAGGACCGCCTGAAGGGAGGCGGCCAGAGGCTCTGGCCCCAGCCTCTTCCCCTGATCTCCCCACGGATGAGTAATGAAGATGACCCCGGCCCCTGCACGGCTCACTTGGCTGACTCATCCCGGCACGCATGGCCAAGCTGATCTACTTGCCCCGGGGTGGAAGGCACCACGCTGCCTCCTTTCCCCCCGACAGTGGTACCACGGGGCTATCTGACTCTCCAATCCTCACCTCGGGCCTCTGGGGTCCCAGGTCTCTGGCAGTGACTGGCATTCACTTAGGGACCTGGCAGGGGATGGTCCTTGGAGACCTGGGAGGGATGGAAGAGACAGCTTGGCTCTTCCGGGGCTCCTGGCACAGGTCCTGTCCTCACCCCACCAGCAGGGCCAGCCCTTTCCTGCCAGCTGCTCCTCAGGCTTGCCGGGGTGGGAGGCCGAGAAGGAGAGGGGGGCAGGCCGCAGGGAAGGAGGGGGCGTTCCCTCCCGCGGGAGGACAGCTGGCCCGGGAAGGGAGAAGGGGGGGCAGATGGCAGCAACTTGTGTCTGCCAGGGGAACCCTGGCCGCCTCTCCAACCAGCACAGCTGCTCCTTCCTCTTCTAGGGCTAGCAGCAGAGCTGGCTGATGCCTGTCTCCAGACGGTCAAGCTGGGAACCCCGTGGGGGGCGGGGGACCGCGTGGAACATTTGACTCCTTCCAAAGGGGTCTGGGGGCCAGACCTTGCCAGTGCCCCAACTCGGGGTGGGGGTATGGGGAGCTGCTGTCGCCGGGAGGATGTTCGTACCCCACGTTGAGGTGGTCCACCAGGGCTTCGGTCAGGCAGGTCGCGGCCGTGATAGCCTCTCGCCTCCTCTTCTCTGGGGGGGGGGGGGGAGAAGAGGGATTGGAGCCGGGACTGGTTTTTGAGGGGTGGAGCTACAGGTTCTTCCCCCATTCATGCGAACCTCTCCACTGATGTCAGAGTTGAAAACGACCGAAATAGAAAGCAAAGTTTCATCTGAGAGAGGCGGACTCGCTTAAGGACGCCAAGGGCAGCACCCACGACGCCTGACTGCGAGCCCCCCACCCCCTCCTCGGCGGTCTCAGGCCTCCTAGAACCGGGTCTCTGGGAGCAATCCCACGGCCTCCTTCGTCGGGGGCGTTCCTCCCCATTCCCAGAATGACAGGCGCCCTACCAATAGGCACAGCGGCCCACGAAAAGAGGGCGGGGCTACGAGGCCGCCAAGTTGGGGATTGGCGGCGTTGCCGAGGGGGGACCCGAGTGTCGCCGAAGGGGCCAGAGCCCGTTGGCCAGGGCACGCAATCTCCAAAAAGGCCGCCCCTCGGTTTGCTCTCCGCCACGCTCGCTGCCCGCTAGCTGGCGCCCTTCGCCAGGTCTGGGCAGTTACTCGAGGTCCGGGCTCCAGGCTGAAGCTAGGCCGCGGCCGGAGAGACAAATGCCGACGCGATATTCGGCTCACCCTGCAGCTCCTTGCGTTCATTCTGCTTGGCCTGGTGTTCCTTGAGCAGACGGGACAGCATGGTCGCGTCTGGCTGGGGGCAGGGCACGCCGAACCCCCACCGGCTCCGGGAGCTGGAATGCGCCTCGGCGCCCGCGGCTCACGTGACCCCCACGTCACGTGACGCGGAGACCGCCCTCTTTTTTAAGGCGTGGGGGTGATAGGGAGTGAAGGTCTTGGCCGGGCAGGGAGCTGCAGGGTTGGTGCAGCATCTGAACTCGTTGCTTTATTTTGAGAGCTCACTTTCTGGTGAGCGTGGGGAGGACTTGACTTTAGTACCTCTTTTGCCGAGCCCGTTTTAACGTCTCCTGGCGACCTCCAGCCCCCGGGAGGGTTCACGGTTGTGTGCAGACTCCCTGGACTCATTGAAATTCTTTCCCTTCGCTGGCCTTACCTCCTGGCAGAGCCTGTCGGCTCTCATTTGGTTCCCTGCCTCCCCCTCCCCCTCTCCCGACTAGGGGAGAATGCCTTCTTGTCTTTCCAGCTTTCTTCTCCACCCCAGCGAGGTCCCTCACTCAGCTCTGGGTGATTATTGTGGAGAAGCATTTGAGGCACTTCAAGCAGCCTTCTAGGGAGCTTGGCAAATGTGGCGGGCTGTGTGCGGTGAATGTACAATTCCGTCTCTGTCCTTTTGTGGTCAGGGAATGCGAACCCATTTTGGTCTTAGCAGAAGCCTAATGCCACTGCCAAAGTGAAAGGTAAATTATATAACACCTCTCTCAACCAAAGAGGAATGCTCCCGGGCTTAACTCCAACAGGAAAAATTATAAACATTACCAACGTAATGCCACTGCTACACTTTCTCTTGCATCTTGCCCTGACATACTGGGTGACTTTGGGCAAGCAAGTTGCTCACATCTCTGGATTTTAGTTTTCTCATTAGGAAACTAAGGGGTTGGATTAAGTCAACAAAGGGGATTGGCTATTAGAATCTCATGGGTGAGGTTTTATTTTATCTGTTTATTTATTTTCATCTACTTGAAAAGAGCGAGGGCGCGAGAGAAATTTCCATCCACTGGTTCACTCCCCAAATGCCTGCAACAGCCAGGGCTGGGCCAGGTGGAAGCCAGGATGTAGGAACTCCATCCAGGTCTCCCATGTGGGTGGCAGGGGCCCAAGTGCTTGAAGCAACATCTGCTGCCTCCCAGGATGCATTAGCAAGAAGCTGGATTGGAAGTGAAGGTGCTGGGACTTGAACTCCAGAATGGGATGTGGGCATCCCCAGCAGGCTTAATCCACTGTGCACCAACGCTTTGGCCCCAGATCACATAACTAGAGTCTCGAGAGGTGGAGCCCGGATGTGGGTATTTTTTAAGAAGCTGTTTAGCTGATTCCGATGTGCATTCAAGGTTGAAAATCACTGGACTAAACCTTATCTAAGACCATTTCCAACTCTGACATTTGTCATTGAATGATTTAGTGGCATAGTTGAAACTGACTTCATTCTATTTGCAAGAAGAAGAGAACTGTGTGCTGATTGAGGTAGAATAAAACATTCTTCTTTAATTTTTCTGAATAAGAGTTGAGAATGATTGACCCATTAGTTTACTCAGCTACTTATGGACTAGTATCCTAAATGCTGGCGCATGTACAAACATCAAAGGATGAGTGAGAAGAAGCCCATGAAGTGGTTAAGTGGCGTTATCAAGCAGAACGTTAAGTAGCATGATGAAAATTCCAAGCAGAACAGTTGGATGCCGTGTGTGTGTGTGTCTATGCTCACATATATACACTACAACTGCTTTGTCCAACATCGCCTAAGTGCTTGCAATGGGTCAAGCGTGTATGAATTCATTTAACCCCTGGAGCAATCCTGTGAAGTTTTATTTTTATCTCTGCTTTGCAGAGGAAGAATCTGAGGTACAAAGCCATTAAGTAATAGAGCTCCCAAGTGGTAGAGCTAGGATACAAATCCAGGCTTTTTGATACCAGAGCCTGAGTGAAACCCGTCTGTCTTGCCGAAACCATGGGAGAGACCTCAGGGAGGAGGAGGCAAAGGTGCTTTTCGTGTTGTCACCGTGCCCCTCTCACTTGCTGGGCATGAGCTGAAGGGAGTCCTGGCAGGGGAGGAGTGTTTGGGAAGAGGCTTGGCTCTAGGGAGGGCTGATCAATAGAAGCGGTAAGAGTGAGAGCATCACAGGGCAGCCTGGCCCAGTCCTCCCCCCTCTCTGGCTCCAGCTTCCAACTGCAGTGAGCAAGCAAAACGGAGGCAGATTGGAAGATGACTGATGCCAGAGCTATGGGGCCTGGGACAGAAGGGCAGGAGTTGGAAGGGAATGATGACATTGACAGAGAATGATGACAGGGGGCAAGTGGAATGGGTGGGGCTGGTGAGCGGATTGGTGTTGGGATTTTCAGGGGTAAAGTGTGGGAATGTTAAGATTAGGCTGACTTGAGGGAGAGAGGCCCATCCTGTATCACCCTCACTGCCCTCCCACCCTGGCATAACTGCCTGACATTTTCACAATCAGTGTAGAGACAGTGCCAGGATTCTGCAGGCTTGGCCCCTGCCCGCCCTTCCTTCCCATACGCAGGTTGTTCCTTTGCCCTGCAGCTGGGCAGAGGACATGGGGAACCTGTGTCTGGGGACCCTGGCTGACCTTTCCAGGGTCATCCTCCATTTGTTCTTTTTCTGTTTAGCCTCATGGTTCACTGTCCAGCTCAACTGCATTGGACGCTCTGGTCCACCTGTCCTTGGTAGACAGGGACTCTAGGAACTTGAAATCTCTTTACTGCCCGCCTCTCCTTCCAAGATCCCGCTCAGGTGATTTTTCCCTTAGAATGAAGGAATACAACCCCACACTGCTTTTCTCCACTTAGTTCCCTGTTCTTTTGAGGGCTCTTTCAGAGTTGGCTTTAATTAGCAAACTCCAAACGGACTGGCTGGGCCCAACAGTAGGGCCGGAAGCTACTGAATTGCTAGGGGCTGGTTGAGGACTGAGGGAGGACATGGAGTGAGTGGAGAAGGCTTCACGACGGGGGAATCTGGCTGCCCTTCAAGAGTGGGGGCTGTTGGTGGTGTGGCCAAGTTCCAGATGTTGGCCTGAGGCCAGTGCTTGAAGAAAAGGGGCCCTCAGGGCAGTCTAAATGGCTCCCTGTGGGGAGTGACCTTCCAGTCCTCTCCCTAAGACACAAGACTTTCTCTTGGACCCTCAAAGACCAGAGTAGCCAAACCATTTCCCTACTGCCTCCTGTCCGTTACATGTCTATTCTTTCTCCTCCAGCCACTCCCACAGTTTGAGCTATGGCTGTGGCCAGATTCCAGAGGCGAGCAGAAGGATTTCAGTGCTGGGCAGGCGGGTGGGGTGAGAAGTTCTCGTGTTGTGTGTTGTAGAGGAAACGCCTGACCCTGCTCCGAGCCTCTGTTGCCAGAGGAGGTGGAGGAGGAGTTAACCCTGAGTGTGGGTTCTGGAAGGGATTGCGTGTCTGCTAGAGATGACAGCTGGCAAAGATGTGATCTCTGGGGAGCTAAAATGTGGGGCTCTCTGATGGAGGGAGAAGGAGCTGCAGGAGCCTCACTTCCACTCAGATAGGAGCCAACATCTTTGCCGAGCCTGGACATTTCTCAGGCTTAGCATTTTCTGGAATTCGTTTGAAATAATGACAGATTCAGGGGAAGTTGCAAAAGTAGAACCAGAAGTCCTGTGGACCCTGTGTTCACCATCCCCCAGTGGCGACATCTTTTGTAACTGTCACGCAGGACCCAAACTGGGAAACTGATGCTGGCACAGTGCTATTGGTCAGCGACAAGCCTTCAGTTCTCATCACTTTTTTCAGGTATTCATCTGTGTGTGTGTGTGTGTGTGTGTGTATGTGAGGTGTGTGGTGTGGGTGTCTATGTATGTATGTGGAAGTGTGTGTGTGCACGATGTGTGTATATACTTCTGTGCATTTGGTTCCCATGTTTGGCTTTGGATAACCACCACCATAATCAAGATACCCACTACCATGAGGGACTCCTTTGTGCTGTCCCCATCTGTCCCCTGACATCCACTAATCTGTTCTTTATATCTCTAGTTTACCATTTTGAAAATGTTATGTGAATGGACTAATATGGTTTCAGTATTTAAAAAATGTTATTTATTTGCAAGGTAGAGTTACAGAGAAAAAGAGAGATCTTCCATCCTCACCCACTGGTTCACTCCCTAAATGGCTACAACAGCTGGGGCTGGGCCAGGCCAAAGCCAGGAGCCAGGAGCTTCTTCCAGGTCTCCCACACGGGTGCAGGGGACCAAGCACTTGGGCCATCTTCTGCTGCTTTCCCAGACTATAGCAGGGAGCTGGACTGGAAGTGGAGCATCCAGGACACAAACCAGTGCCCATATGGGATGCTGGTGTCACAGGTGGCAGCTTCTCCCTCTGTGCCACGATGCCAGCCCCAACATTGTGTTAGGTTTTAATGAATTCTCAAGCTCTTGACCTCAGCACAAGAAATCCTCTGGTGGGTTATTTTTACAATGCTGCGCCCCTTCCATTCTCTGGATCCCTTTAGTTTCCTCTCTTCCCGCTTCACCTTTCTGGCATTTGGGTTTCACTTCTCCTTTAGGGAGACGGTGCTTGTCTAAATCTGCTAGGCTGTCCTAGGGCTCCTGCGTGTTCCCTGCCCTCCCTTGCCCCACTATTTATAGCTAGGCTAATTTTGGGTGGCCTCTCTCTCTCTTCTGCTGTTCCTTCCTCCTGTGGCTGGTGAGGTGACTTCTGAAATATTTGGGCAGAGAGGTCAGACACAGATTCTTGGCATCTGATTTCAGCTTTGGATTTCTCCGAAGCTGGTGGAGTGCACATAGGGGGCTGACAGGCTGCAGGTGCAGAGAGGCAGCAGCTGGAGAACCGGGTGGGGACTCAGGAGGCCTGGGTTCTGTCCTGTCAGCTCTTCTCCACTGCCTGGGACTCTGAGACAGCAGAGATGGACAGGACATCTCTGGGAGAGAGTGCAAGGAGAATGCTGGTGCAGGGTTCCTTCTTAGCCCCTGTCTAGAGATGCCCTGGATGGGGTGTCCACAGGTGTAGTTGTACAAAAAAAAAAAAAAAAAAAAAAAAAGGAGGCCAGACCTTCAAGTGGCAACACACCCAGGTCAAGGATTGTCCCAGGGCTGGCAGAGTGAGGGCCCCACGGACACTCCTGAACA